CATGGAGTACCAAACCCGTCCCACGGCTGGAGTCGGTCCTGTCCCCCGAGAGCCCGCCCAGCTGCCCTCTGTCCTTTTAGAAGGGGCCTCGGGGGCTGGGCTGCCCCACCGCCCGGACGCTGCGGGGTAAGGAGAGAAAAGAAGGCGTGGAGGACCCAGGGGTCGGGGCCAGGCCAGGGCCGTGCGTCCTATCTTCCCTTCTCCGTGTCCTCAGAGCAGCTCTGTCCGGGACGGTCATCACGAACCCCACACGCCTCTTTAATTTTAAATTAAAGTGAAAGAAAATTCATAACTGCATTTCCCAGTCACACTAGTCACATCTCAGGTACTTAGTAGCCACGGGGGGCTGGCGGCGGCCAAACTGGACGGCTCAGGCATAGAGCCCATCCACCCAGAAAGTTCCACTGGACAGTCGGTCTCATCTCCAGAGCAACCTCACGAGGTTGAGACTGTCTCCCCGTTTCACAGACGCAGAAGCCGAGGCTTAGGGAGTGGAGAGACACGCCAGTCACGCCGCCAGCGAGGGACAGAGGGCAGGAGAGCCCAGGTCCGTGGGTCTCAGTGTGGCGCGGGGTTGGTGTGCACACGTGTCCTGCTCAGCGGGCTGCTTCTCAGGACAGAGGGGCCAAGGCCGGCCAGTGGGCCACACGCGCCCAGGGACCTGTGCCTCCTGCGGGACGCTCGGTTTTCCCGTGGGGAGTGACGCTTGGCTGAGGAAGCAGGATGGGGACAAACGCTCAGTGTGGGGCCCTCGGGGCCTGGACCCCGGAGACCAGATCCCCTAGCAGGGGCCCGGGGGACTTCGGTGGGCTCCGAGAAACATTTCGAAAGCGAGAGAATGGTATCTGAACGGTGGAAACAATGCGCACGGCCGTCAGAGGGTGAGTGCCTGGGGTCCCTCCATCCGGTGGGACGTCACCCAGCCGTAAACGGGAACGAGGCGCCGACGCCCGCATCGAGGCCGATCCTCGGACACACGAGGCCGAGCGAAGGGAGCCAGTCACAGGAGGTCACAGGGTGTGCCATCCCACTGACGGGAAATGTCCAGAACAGGCAAATCCTCAGATACAGAAAGCACCGTATCCGTGGTCGCCGAGGTGGGGGCGGGGCGGGGGCGGCTGCTCGCGGGGACGGGGCTTCCGTGGGGTGGCGACTGTTCCGGAACGCGACAGAGGTGGCAGCGGCTGAGCCTTGTGAACGTGCTAAGTGCCGCTGAACTGCGCACTTCAAAAATGTCCCGGCGGCCAGTCTCAGTGCTGTGTTTCGCCACCCTGCAGGGAGTGACAGGGGTTGGCACCGTCCAGGGGCTGCCTATGGGTGTTCGTCGTCAAGTGTTCTCGACTCTGCCGTCCGCGCGAACGTTCGCGTAACAGAGCGTCGGGGGAAGAGGGTGGAGAGGGCTGTGAAGACGAAAGTTTCGAGGTGCAGGCTGTGGAGACGCGACTCCAGCAGGGCCACCCCCGGGTCTGGCTATCAGAGCCGCGAGGTCGTGGCCTCTGGAGCGGGCTTCAGCCTTCCCGGAGCCCCCGTCCTGGGTGCGAGCAAGGGGAGCAGGCAGCCGGGTGCCGCTGCCCTCTGTGCTCCGTCCCCGTCCCCCGAGGAGACAGTGGGTCCACGTCCACGCCCCCTCGCTGCCCCCTCGCCGTCCCCAGGGCCCGGGACTGCAGGCCGGGAGACGGTGGGGCGATCCCAGTCTGTGATGAGGGACGGAGGCCCGAAGACGTCACCAGGACTCGCCGCCGTCACGTGATCCCCCAGAGGAGAAACTGAGGCCCCAGCTCGGGCCGACCACTCTCTCCCCGGCCCCACTTCTGCTGCTCACTGTCACCGCCCCAGGGCCCAGTGACAAAGGCCAGTCCTGGAGCTGGGGTTGCGGACAGAGGAGGCAGCGGGGCTGACAGCAGGTGGGTGGACATCAGCCTGGGCCGGGAGAACTGCCGGGCGCCATGAGCAGACAGGAGCCGTCTGCCCGGGGGGCGGGGGGCGGGGGGCCCCGGCACAGCCCACTCCGTCCCTCTCCACTTCCGGCCTCAGTGGTTCTGGGCGCCGAAGCCCCCACACAGGTGGACACCCCTCATTCCTGAGGCCGCAAAGTGTGGCTGAACCTCGTGGGAAGTTGTGACTCGGGGTTCGGAGACTCTGATTTTCAGAACTGGGGAGGCAGGCGGAGGTGGGAAACGCATCCCCAGGGCCCGGGGTCGCCCAGGCGGGAGGCAGCGTCTCTGGTCTTACGGTGGCCCCCGTGGAGGGCGATGGAGGCCGAGAGCCAGGTGAGAAAACCCCGAGATTCCTGCCCCTCCCCCCTTTCCTCCTGGCGCCCGGGAGCTGCCATCTGCCCCCCTGGGTCAGGCTGGTCCCAGCCTGGCCGCTGTGGCCCGAGGCCTGGCGTGGGGGAGGAGGGGGGTTGGTTCTCGCTGACGCCTTCCCTCTGGCATATGGATCCACCGCCCGCCTCGGGCTGTGCCAACGGCTCCCCTTCTCCATGGCAACTTCGCTCAGTGGTCCCAGTGGAGGAGAGAGAATCAATGCTCCCTCTTCCCTCCCTCCCTCCCTCCCTCCCTCCCTCTCCTCTCCCCACCCCTTCCTCTCAGCCTCCTTCCTCCTCCATCCCTGCCGGCGGCTCTCCGGTCCTCCGTCCAGCCTCTGTCGGCCCCGGGACCTCCGGGACCCCTGTGCTTCGTCTGTCCTTCTGCTCCGGGCATGGGCTGCCGGCGGAGCTGCGAGCCAGGGCCGGCGCCCTGAGATCGTCCGCATGGGGAGCTCGGTGGACCTCCGTGGACATGGGGGGCGGCCCGGCTCCTGCGGCCTGCGGGTCCCGGCTCTCACGCTTTGTCCCTCCTCTTACCCTTCCTTACATTTTCTTCCTGAAAGGTAATTCTTTACGGAAACTGTCGCAGCCTTAGGTCGGGTTTATTAGGCAGGAAGGCTCTGTCCTGGTCACGTGGGCTGCTTGTTTTCTCTGAGTAGCTGGGATGGAGCGAGAGAGAGGCAGGGAGAGGCACGGCCCGACCTGGAGCTCCGCTGGGCACGGCCAAGTTTGGGTGCGGGGGTGTCCCCCAGGGCGTCTGTGAGCCTGGCTCCGGCCCCCCGGTACCCGGGTGCTCGCCGTCTGTGCACGCTTCCATTTCTCATGGAACTGCTAAACAGCAGGGACGGCCCGCTCTCCTGGACGGTGGCCTGCCGGGGGAGGGGGTGCCTTTGGAGGCATGCACGTGCACCCCAGACGGGGCCAGGCCAGGAGCAGGTCTCCCTGTCTAATCCTTTCTCACCTGAAAACAGTTCACTGGGCAGCGTTGTGTCCCCGGGACTGGCAGTTTCCGAGGAGACGGTGCGGGGGGGATCTGGAGCCACCTGGTTCCAGGCGGAGCAGTCCTGCCAGCCGTCTGCTCGGGACCGTCCCGCGGCAGAGTCCGGTTCAGACAAGGTTCTCAGACCGCTGCCCAGGGAGTCAATATTCTCCGTCGTGCCTTCCCCATCCGCACGCCTGGCGGCCAGGACGGCCCCTAAGTGTCTTTCCTGGAGGGACTCGAGCCCCTCATTGTCAACATCTGCTGTGTTGATGGCAAGCGAGGCCCGAAAGGAACAGATTTAGCACCCGGTTCTTAGAAGCCATGGGTCTGAATGGTGTCCGAGGGGAAGCCCCGTGCGGGCTTTACATAGAAAGGGAGCACCAAGTGGCCCGGCCGACGCACAGAGTTCGGTGCAGGTACCGGGGACACAGCGCTGGACTCTGAGCGCGGGGCCCGGCCCGGGGGCTGCGAGGGCAGGGAGGGTAGACGCTCAGGTACGCGTCTCAGAGTCAGGTTCACGGGTGCCCGACGATCACATATTCCGCTCCAGCATTACACCTCTGACAGCCTGCTTCAGTAACGGGATCAGCCCCGGAGGTGGCCCAAGGCAGGCCTCCCCGCGCTGACTCTGGGCCCCTCTAAACTCCGGCTGTGCACCCCACAAAGCTCCGCTCCTCTAACGCTGCCTCCCACCCTGCCTTCTTGGTGTTTCCTTTTGATAATCAGATGGGTTCCTGTCAGGCAGGACGAGAAGAATGCTTCTCTGTCTGCAGAGGTCTGTGCTGTGTCTTGTTTTTCCTTTGCTTTGAGGCTGGAGTCTGTCACC